CCCGCCCCGGACACCCGCCCTCGCCCCCGCCCCGTTGGCCGCGCCCCGCGCGGCTCGGCCCCCCATTGGTCCGTGGCGCTGCCACTCGAGGCGAGGCCGGCCCGGCATGCCCCGCGCCGCGGCGTTCGGGGCCATTGTGCTGTGTCATACGGGCCGAACCATGCGCTGGGGGAGGGGGGGGGCAGCGGCCTCTAGCTAATGGAATTGCCCATTGTCCCCATGGAGGAGGAAGGGAGCAGTCCATTCTCCCCGTGGAAGAGGGGGCAGCGGCCTCTAGCTAATGGAACGGCCCATTCTCCCCGTGGAGTGGGGGAGCGGCCTCTAGCGGCGCCAGGTGGAACTGCTACCCCAGGACCTTGCCCCGCAGTGCTGCAGCATGGCCTAGGGCCCAGCACAGACCAGTTTCCAAATCCTCACTGGTGCTACAGCCACGTCTCCAGTGGAAACCCAGGCTCTGGGGGTAGAAACACCCAGGGGAGAAGAGCATCTGTGGGCAACACCCATAGCACCATCACAATATCAGAGATACCCACAGTGTCTAAGTCCTGTACACAACACAACACACTTCAGTCCACTTGTCTCCCCACTGCTTCAGCTTCTATTCAAACAGCTAACGCACAAACAGGTTAAAAAGATGTTTTATAGGCAAAGCTTGACAACAGAACAAAGCCATGAGATCCTTGCATAATCTTCACCCCAAATGGACACTTACCAAGGAAGGTACTGCCGTGCAGTCAGCGATGCCTAGCGCTACCTGCTTACAGCCAGTACTGGGAACAGAAAGGCGATGGGCCAGCAGGTATTTTCCCCTCTGTAACAGAAATGCAGAATCGCAACATGGGCGTGAGGAGGATCTCAGTGGGGCAAAGCAGTCCAACACCCTTCAAGGCAGAGATGCTAAAGTCTAAGGAAGAGGGAAGAATGGCTCCTGTTAGTGGGCATACGTGGGGAAGAGTTAGTGGGCATATGCGGTAAGAATCTCACAAGCCGATCTCCTTCCCCTCTTCTTACCAAAAGGTCCAAATACTTAACCCTTCCCTCAGAGCATTTCGCCATAAGGAGGTACTCCAAAAGGCTGCACTTTCAAAGCTGAAGACATTAAGCAAAACAGATCAAGTCAAACAAAATCTGAATAACAATTGTAAGTTTAAAGGTATTTTTGTGATGCGGTACCGATTTTGAAATGACAAAAAGTAGGTTTCTTTCATTAAAAATTGATCTTGGTTAATTGAGAGGTGAAAGCGGCAATTAAAATACATAATAAAGTAGGGAGCAGAAGGGAGAAAATGACTGCACTTCATAATTATTAACGCAGTCGTTGCTGCCAACATTCCCAAAAATATCTGTGGGCAGTCAGGCAACAAGAAATTTTCTTAACCTATGAGGAACAAGAAACGCTAGCATTAGTAGACAGGAATGGTAACCTTGTCAGTTATGATCTGGAAAGGAGCAGCTTACAGCAATGAAACATTTTAGTGCTTCTCCACATTACTTTTGAAATACTAACCAGCCTTACATATTTTTTTTGGTACAATACAGCAAAAATTAAAGACAAAACATGACTTTCCTACAGACTGCTTAACCTAACATGGATCATAGAATCCTGGAAAGCCTAATCAGGGATGCAAAGGACAGAAGCATAATTTATGCAAATCATAGTTTTATTGAAACTTTTAAAAAATACCAGCTTTAGCTTGTGAAAGTAAGTGCGACACTAGATGGCTGTAGGTATTCAGTTTGCCGCTGCGTGATGTTTCAATTGGAAGTCTGCATTATACAAGATCAACACTGCACATATTAGAACTGAATTAAAATCTGACTTACTAAGAAAGGTCCTTTGTTCTCCTGGAAGAAAACTTTGCAGAGATGGTGGGAAAAAAAAAGTAATGCCAAGCATTTTATGTCTTGTTCAAAATGACTTTTATTCAGATTTACAGTTTAACATTTATGTCCACAAACCTGTACAGACTTCTCTAAAAAGCTAAATATGACTTTGTTAATATAGATGGGTATTGACAGTTATTAAATATTATAAAAATAAATCCATTTCACTAAAGCATTTTTATCATCTGACATTTTCATGCAACATGAATAAGGAAAACACAGTGTGTGTAAATAATTAACAGGAATACAGCAATTGAGTAAGGCAAAAGAAAAGCAGCTTCATAGAAGTGTAAATCAGAGTGGACTGGAATTCTGGGTATGAGCAATTTAATCTTTTACATGCTATAAAAACATACCAAAAATCATTTTTTCTGTATTAGAACCATTAGCTTTACATAAATTTAAATATTGCTTTATTGTACAACTGACCCAAACCACAGGTGTTTTCAGAGAGGCAAAATTACAGTGTATTACCAAATGATGTAGTGTTTAGTCCATATCCTAAACAAACAGGTATGCTTATTTCTAACATACAGATACATTGATTACAGTGAACAAAAGTAAACAGGAGAGAAATGAGAACTACATTTAGGAGAGAATATCATCAGGCATATGTATTGCGCAAATGGTTACAAACCATTTTCTCACAGGGTCTATTATCATTAGCAATGTGATGTCTTTTGTAACATTCTAGTTTTAGAACAGACCTCGGGGGGGGGGGGGGGGGGGGAAAAAAAAAAAAAAAAAAAAAAAACTTTATATCA